CTGAGCCCTGCGCACAGCAATGCTAACGGTCCAGAGAAGGCACAGAAGCAAGGGGAGCTAGGGAGGGGGCTCTGGGCCTGGTGGGGACGGGTGGGCTGGCAGGAGGAGCCCGTGCTCTGTGCAGCTCAGCAGAAGGCAGCCCCGCCAGCCTCTCTGCACCTCCCAGTGACAAAGCCTGCAGGTTCTGGTCGGGGAGGCAGGTTCATCAGCAGGGGAGGGCCGTGGGTGTGGGCATCATAATCTGCCCGGAGGAAGCCCACGTGCACCCCGGAAGTGGTCTCTAGAGCCTGTCTCTGTCAGACGTATCCAGGCTGGAAATGTACTAGTTGCTGTGGGGTCCTTTGGTGGAAACCAGTCCATCTGCCTAACTTGTGGCCCACACTAGCCCATCCCTTCTGGAAGCTTTCCCTGACGTCCAGGCTTCGCTGATTTACCATTTCTGACCTTCTTGGGCAAACAGTGGAAGATGCTGCATTGCGTTTTCTGCAGGACGCTCCCCACCTCCCCAGCCCCGCAGAGGCGAGCCTCACCCTCGGCACCCAGCCCTTCACCACGCCCAGGCACCAGGAGGGGCTGGTGGGCTCCAAGCAGCCTCCGGCAGCATCCACGGTGAGGCCGTTGGGGGCCCAGCACACGAGGCTCCCACAGTCTGGAACTCCTCTCCCCAGTGAACGACCCGGCCGTCTCATAGCCCTGCTCTGTCACTCTCCCTGCAGCCCACTCCGTGCATTCATTCCTTTGCTGAACCAACAGCGATGAATGCTTTTCCCACCGGCCAGTGCTGTGGTTCAGCGACCCTGCCTCATTCATTCCCTCCCTGGGCACCTACGCCAGGCAACGCCAGCTGGACCAGGACGGGCCGGGCCCCTGCCCTCATGGAGCTCACCCACCTGGACGGGATCAGAAGCAAGGCCCTAGGGGCAGTGTGCTGAGCGCTGTGATTGTCCTGTATACGCAGAGTAGGGGTGAGAACACCAAGGCCCAGGAGGGCTCCAGGGAAGCCCACATCCCTGTTGTCTTCCAAACCTCCCTGACCATGCAGGATGCTGCCAGCCTACGTGGCACCTTTGTGCAAAGTAGAAAAAGGGGTTCCCTCTGGGTGGAAAAATTAGCAAAAAGCAGCCTCTCTTGTCTGTCGCAGACTCGTGCACGCACGGCCTGGGGAGCAAAGAGTTCAAGTGCCTCTACCTCCCCGGCTGAGCGTCAGCCCCCTCTGCCGGGCGTCTCTGCATCACGCACTACCTGCAGCCTTACACACCTTCCCCTAAATGGTGCAGGACCCTGGGCACAGCTCTGTGGGCCATGTGTCACAGGGTCACCCACACGCCCTCTGAGGCTGCTGCACGGTACCATTCCCAGCCCCAGCGGCCAGCAGGTGCCTTCGGCCTCTGCGCTGCCTCACAGAGAGCTGTGGCTGTAAAGGACCTGGGCCTTCAGTGCTCTTCAGTTGCCGAAAGAAGCAGGATGCTGTCAGGCGCCGTAAAAATGTGACCTTTGAAAATTTACAAGAGCTCAGGGTTTAAAAAGCTGCTGCGTTAATGATGCATCCCATTAGCATCTCATTAAAGAGAAGCCTGCTCGCCCGATGACGGGCACACAGGGCCACCCCGTGGTCTGGGCAGGGCAGGCTCTCCTGCACTGCCTCTCTCTGCCGAATGCCATCATGTCACCAGAGCAGAAGCCATGGCCAGGAACACTGGGCAAAGGCCAAAGGTCTGGGTGGCTTCACTGGTGTCCCAGATGGTGGCAGTGGGAGGGGGCACAGTGAGGCCAGCTCATCCCTGCCTGAGCCAGGTTTTCCTGGTTGGTTTTTGTGGCATTCTTGTGTTGGGCAGCTTTGTGGCATGGAGTGTGGAACTTAGGGAGGCCTGGGCTTTGCGGGGATCCAAGCCTATGGGGGTTCTGAGCATGGGAGGAAAGGGTCAGCTGGAGCTGGGCTCAGCGCTGGAGCCCCAGACCCACTCACGGTCCCTAGAAGCCTCCGAAACCTGAGGCCTGCATGGGTTTGCTCTAGGCCTGGGGCTCTTGGCAGGAGGCAGGGGCTCTGGTCAGGCCGTGCTGAGTCACACATCCCCAGCTGGGCCACGCATCACCCACCTGGGAGCCCAGGCTCCTTGGCAAAGGGCACACACCCCCGCGTCTGAGATTTTTCTGGAGGGAGTAAAGGAAGGAATGTCACTTCATTATTTTAATAAAATAAATAAAATTCCTGAACTGCAAGTTGCTTGTAGCTTCACAGGTTGTTAGCACTGAGTAGAATATGAGTAGCCTTATTTATCTTTCCTAAAGAAAAAAAAAAAGACTTTTTCTTCTCACAGCAGAACTGTTTTCTTGAGCATAAGAAATTGCTTGCAGTATTCATGAAAGACACAGCCCAACAGCAAGCCTGTTGCTGCCCAGTTCACCTCCTCCTCCCAGCCACCCCAGTCTCCTCTGCACACCCGAGCACCCCCAGCTTCTTTGGGGTCGCACCATTTGTGTACTCCAGTTCTGCAGCAGCCGCTTTAGGACAGGGCTGTCTCCCTGTCACCCGTGTCCCCTGTCCCTTGAGCAGTGCCTGACACAGAGCGGGAGCCCCAGCAAACCAGCCAAGAGACACAGGAGCGAGTGAGCGAGCCGGCAGGAGTGTTTGGAACCCAGGGCCTGAGTGACCTGTGTTGCAAAAGTGTGCAATTTTTCAAACTCAGAAACTCCCCCAATCTTAGGGCAAATATTCGAACTCCTGAAGTTTTAGAGCTCAGAACCTGGGGACCCAAACTGGAGGAGACTCCCAACCTCCTATCCTGGCGACATTGGCGCCAGGGTGTTTCCAGAACCTTCCCTACCCTGTCAAGTCACAGGGCCGGGATGCGGGTGCTGATTCAGTGGGGGAGACGTGGGGGCTGTGGGAGGACCCCAGAAAGCTCCACCGCCTCGTGCCTGGGAGGCCTTGAGGGTTCCTGGCAGCAGAGAGGGGTTGCAGCGCCCCCTCCTGGCAGGAGGAGTGTCTGCATTGTCAGTGATGGGTGCTGGTAAGGAGCTGGGGTCCCCAGGTCAAACTCTGCCCCCAAGCAGGGCCACGAATGGGACTCTGCACACCCTCCTTCACCCTCGGAGGCCTCTGGTTCCGGGGAAGCAATCTCTGCGCCTCTGAACCCACCAGGACCCGAGAGTGCAGCGCAGAGAAGGCTGCAGAGTGTGTCGACGCCTGCATCCTTCAGTCAGGGCGCCCGTGAAAAGCTGTCTATTTGGAGAATGCTGAGGAAGCCACGCTATTGTTCTGTGAGACTGCTGGTGAGCGTGGCTACCTCCCAGCCCCCGCCCACTGCCTCCTCCCAGCTCCCGTCTGTCCCACAGACAGAACTGGGGCAGGGGCCTCTGATAAGGAAGCTTGTCCGTGGAATTGTTCTGTCCCCAGGAGATTCACTCTCTCGCTTTGTTTCTTGCTCTGTTCACAGAAGCAAAGCATCTGAAATGCAGGCCGGAGATAAAGTGCAGCCTAATGCAATTAGCTCAGCACAGCCTGCGGGTCCTAATGGGCTGAGGCTCCTGCTCCTCCCAGCAGGCCCCCGTGCAGACGCTGCGTGTCATCTGCATCAAAGCCCAGGAAGTGTCACTGGCCTCCCCATCCACACCTCCTCTCCGTGCCTGACACGGGACCCAGGAGAGCCACCCTGGTCAGGGGGACCTAGCAGATGGCTCTGCCTCCCACCAGCTGTGGCACACAAGGGCCCCAACCTCACCCCAGATGCCCCTTGAGTGCCCGGTGGCCTTCTGTGACTGTCCAGTGGGCAGTCATTTCGACCCCATCCCATCTCTCCTCCCTCCGGCCCAGCCTGATGGGCTGCAGTCACCCTTCTCGAAGCCACCTCCACTGACACCACACCCCTACCTCCCAGGGCATCCCATGCTGGCTTCTCCAACATGTTTTTAGGAGTTTTCTTTCTTTTTTTTCTTTTTTTTTTTTTTGTCACATTATAAATAATGGCCATAGTAGGAAATTTAGCAAATACAGAAAAGTGTGGACAGTAGAATAAAAGTTACCCATAATCCTCTCACCCAAGAATAACACCCCTGCTAATATTTTGGTCACTTCCCTCCTCCGCATATTGTTTGGTGCAGGGATGTTTACGCAGGGAGGTTGTATGTGTGTGTCATTTTGTGGCCTGCTTTTCTCATTAAACATTAGAGTGTAAGCATTTCGCCATCTCATTAAGAATGTTTACTAAACGTGATTTTCTATGCCTATGTAATATATACCGTTGCATCGTAAGGCTGGCACTTGGGGAGACCATTGCTGTCCTAATGTTTGTTTTCACCCTACAGGTTTATTTTTCGTTCATCTAAAGATCTAAATGGGAGAGTGGGCTCAGGGAGCAGAGAGCCTGCTTCCTTCCTGCACCAAGGAGGGTCCCCCCACCCACCTGGGAGCAGGATCTGAGCTGTCCTCCATGAGCCTCTGCCCCCCAGCACACCTCCTCCTCCTCGGGACATTTGGGCTCCAGAGGCTGAAATGGGAACAAGACAGGGAATGTGTAATGTCCTTCACCTGCCGCCGGGTGGCACCTTGGAGAGCTGTCCTCTCCCATGTCAAAGGGCCAAGCACACGTTAGCTCAGAGGCTGGGCTGAGTACACAGTCAGTGCTCAGCATATGCCCTGGATAAGTTGGTAGCATTCGTGTTGCTGTGGTTTATTGATGATCCAAGGGTTGGGACCGCCTCTCCTAGCTCAGAACGCTCGTTCCACTGTGACAGCGCAGGGGCAGTGAGTGGCCGCACAGCGTGCCGGCGGAGGTGCTGGGTTGGGTGTTCCTGGAGGCAGGAGCTTAGCAGAGGTGGCAGCTGCTGCTATGATGCCAGAGTCCTCTGGGAATCCACCATGGGCCTGGGTGCAGCACTGGTGTCTGGCCCTGTGGCTCAGTGGACGAAGCTCGGGCGGCAGGAGCAGGGTTCTGGAGGGACAGGTCCCAGGGCAGTGGCCCTTGCCAGGCTGTGCTCACCCCCTAATCTGCTTCCTGCAGGCTCCCGGCATCTCCAAGGCAGACAGTCAGTCCCAGGGCCTGGCGACCAGCATCCGGTGGGGGCAGACGCCCATCAACCAGTCCACACCCTGGGACACGGATGAGCCACCCTCCAAACAGATGAGGGAGAGCGACAATCCAGGTGCGTACTTCGTTGGAAGGTGACGCCCAGGGCTGGGAGGTGGTAGAGGCTTCCTGGGGGCCCCACAGGGGGAGGTCTGGCCAGTGGCTGCAGAAGCTCCGGCCTCAGGCTCAGAAGCAGGCACTGTGTGTGCTCCTTGTGCAGGAGCCGTCTCTGCCCCCCTTCCTCTGCTACTCAAGAAAGGACTTGGGGGAGCAAGAGAATGAGAGTGACATTTTAGGGTGGCTTTGAACCAGCTCTGGGTTATGGTGAATAGCCATTCCCGGTCATTTCCGAGCCTCAGGGCTCTGAGTCCTAACAGATTTCCCAAGTCACACCTTTGGGTGAGGTTTTGCCTGGCCCACGGCTATGTGAGAACTGGTCCACTCCACCCTCAAGGACTGGGAGTTCCTCACCTTCCCCGAAGCACCCCTGTCCTTCCCTGCATGGCTCTGACCATAGCAGGTGCCCCCCTTTATCGCCCACTGGTCCTATTGCTCCCCTTAGGACGCACAACACATCTGCTCAGCCCTTCACAGGGTGGCCCTGCAGGTATCTGGATACCCCTTCCCTCCCCCTCTCCCAAGCCCTCCAGCCACCCCCCATGGCCCGTGGATCCCTGTCCCTTTCCCTTGCAGGGAACCTGCTCTTCCCTCTGCACCCCTCCCGACCTGCAGGGCCCAGAACTCGACACGACTGGCCCACGTGCGGTCCAAGCAGCACCTCCTTTCTTCAGCTCCTCCACTCTGGTCATGCAGCCTCGGGTCCCATCCTCCTACCTGCTGTCTCAACAGTAAAACCCCAAGATTGTCCTGACAGCTGCTGTCACCCCGTCCATCTCCTCGCAGTCAGGCTTAGGCAGCAGGGTGTGGGGACCCACCAGCACACACACGGAGTCTCTTAGACTCCAGCTTCCGTTGCCGACCCATTCCTAACCCTCCCAATCCTGTGCTCTGCACGCCTGGTCCTGCCTTCCATGCCATCGTCCAAGTCATTGGTAAAAACGGCAGGCAGGGCTTGCTGAGCGTGACCGGAGACCTCCTCTTAAGGTGCTGTGGGCTGCTCGCCCAGTCATAAGTATTAATAAGTCACCTCCGTGGCAGTGCACCTCTGTGTCCCCACCACAGGTTGCCTGGGGCCTTGCGGCGCCAGCTTGCTCTGAAGTTCTGGTGCGTTTTTCCAGGCTCCCTAGCTAGCCCTGGAAAGAACGGAGCTGGGATGACATGCTTTGTCCTAAGACACCTGGCCGGTTCAGAGTGATACCCCTCCTCCTCTTCAGGCTGGGGCAGTCCCCCTTAGCACCCTGTTCTAGAATCTTGCCGGACAACTTCACAGACGTGTGCTGGCTTCCGGTTTTCTCCAACTTCTCTATTATCAAAGTCACACATATTTGCCGCACATGTATTTCGTGCCCCGCTCTGCCTGTCATCGCAGGGCCTGCGGCAGTCCCAGGGCGCAGGTGCCATTGTGCTGTGGCAGGTGAGGGCTGACCAGGGACGGCTGTGCCCGAGGTCCCTTGGCTGGGCAGGGCAGGGCAGGACCAGGACTCACACTGTGGTCCTCCTGGCTCCAAGCCTGGCCCCTTGCCCCCCACCGGTGGCACTCCCTGTGGACAGCACCAGAGGTTTGACGGTCACCCCATTTTGTCCCTACGGGGGGAGCTCCCAGCCCCACTCTCGCCCCTCTGCTCGCATCCTCAGTCACACTGCCGCCCCTGAGGGCTCAGAAAGCCAAGGCAGCACGTGGGCGACACCCAGACCAGCCGCACCCGGTCTGAGGTGGCCCAGGCGCCTTCCTCACAAGCCCCCTTGGGTCACCTAACGTCGGCTTTGCTCAGGGGGCCCTGGGCCTGAGCTGCCTGACCCGGCATGGCTGGCTGGCATCTTGGGTCAGGGCTTAAGGCGTGTCCACAGCCCCTGTTCAGCCAAAACTTCCGTAGGGGCCTGAGTGGGCGTCTCTTATTTCTCTCAGGGCCGCCGTGCCAGGCTGCGTGGCATGGGCCTGGCCATTCCACACTGCCCCCCATGTCCAGCCCCGGCTCTCGTGCTATCCCCCCAGGGCCCAGCAAACACCCACTGCCGCCACCATCCGGCCTTCTCCCCGCTGCCTCCGTGGGTCTTCAGAAAGGGAAGAGAAACACCAACATTCACGGAAGGTTTACCACATGCTAGACACTCTGCTGGTTTTGTTTTGTTTTTCAAATATATTTTCCTCACTCATTCCTTCCCTGGAGCCCTATGGGGTAGATACCACTAGTTGCATTTAACAGAGAAGCATGAGGCTCAGAGAAGACAAGCAACTTGCCGGGGCTCTGAGCTAGCAAGTGGCGGAGCTGAGACTGGAACCTGGGTCTCTCTGAAGGTCTCTGCTTTTTACCCTGCTCTGTTGCTCTCACTCCTCCCTGGCAGGTCTTGTTTTCTCCTCTGAGCCCTCATGGCCGTCGGTTCATATACCCTCCCCGCGCTCACCCGGGCTACTGTGATTGCAGACCCGTGCTCTGTGAGTTGCTGGACTCAGGTGTCTTGTTCTCTGTGACCCCAGCACCCAGTGCAGGGCCTGGGGCATCGGTGTTTGTTGAGTGAATGTGAAACCGGCAGATGACGTTTCTTCCATCTCCCTTGCAGGCACAGGGCCATGGGTGACCACGGTGGCCGCCGGGAGCCAGCCCGCCCTGATCGCACACTCCTATGGAGTGGCCCAGCCTCCCACCTTCAGCCCGGCTGTGAACGTCCAGGCCCCGGTCATTGGGGTGACCCCCTCACTGCCTCCCCACGTGGGGCCCCAGCTCCCGCTGATGCCAGGCCACTACTCGCTCCCTCAGCCGCCCTCTCAGCCACTGAGCAGCGTGGTGGTCAACATGCCTGCCCAGGCGCTGTATGCCAGCCCTCAGCCCCTGGCCGTGTCCACACTGCCCGGCGTGGGGCAGGTGACCCGCCCAGGACCCACCGCTGTGGGCAACGGCCACATGGCAGGGCCCCTGCTGCCTCCGCCGCCGCCGGCCCAGCCGTCTGCCACTCTCCCCAGCAGTGCCCCTGCCACCAATGGGCCCCCCACAAGCGACTCAGCCCACGGGCTGCAGATGCTGCGGACCGTTGGCGTGGGGAAGTATGAGTTCACCGACCCCGGGCACCCCAGAGGTAAGTCCTGTTGCCCACGTGCTCCCCGTGTGCCTGCGTCTGTGCCTCTCCGTGTGGTCACCGCAACACGGCCAGCACAGGAGTGTGCTTCGTGGCAGCTCCTCGCTGGCCTCACCCAACCCAGAGGCTGCAGTGGGGCCTCCGCCTGCCCAGGACAACCGGCCTGAGACCTGAGACGGGGAGGGAAGGGAAGCATGGAGGGCGGGGCAGGGAAGGTGGGGAGTGTGCGTGGGCAAGAAGCGGGACACGGGGAAGAGAAAGGAAGGGAGAGCCTGCACGGTCCAGAGTGCCCCCTCTGGCCCAAGCCCTGGGCCATTCTCACCTCCGACCCCCAAGGCCAGCCCAGGCCAAGGCACAGAATGAGCAGGAACCATCCTCCTCTTAGGGCCCCACAGAACAGTCCCTTTGGGAGCCTTCTCCATTTTCTACCCGTGAGTACATCCGGAACAGGAACTGTCTATGCCCCCCCCCTCCGGGAGCGCACCCTCTGCCATGCTGTGGGACGACAACTGCACCCAGGGCATTCAGTTAGGCCCAGGAGATGTTCCCAGACCATCCTGACCCACTTGAATTTTTGTTTCAAGGACCCCAGGTGGTTCTGTTAGACCCTGGGAAACAGCACCTCCAACCTCAGCCTTAAGTTAACCCTCTGCCCCAGGGGACTGGAAGGTAGATCTTGGGAATGGAGCCTTGGGCAGGAATCACACCAGGGACGGGGTCTTAGGCACGAGCCCCCAGCCTTAGGGTTAGGGCAAAGGGCATCAGCAAACAGGCCTCACCCTTGATGTCTGTACAAGGGATCTGTCCGGGCTGGGACACAGAGAGGCACAGAGGGGCCACAGGCATGAGGTTTGCAGGGTACATCTGCCCCAGGTTTGCCTGGCCCTTAGCGCTCCAGACAGACCCGGTCCCTGCTCCTCCTGAGTGCAGCCGTCTGCCCGCTGGGGCACCCACACCGCCTTTGAAAGAGGAGAGTGTGCACATGTGGGCGTAGCTTCATAGCTGCCCTTCTTAAACCCCTCAGGATCACATTGTGGGGGGCCCTGCCTTTGGGCAGAGTGATGAGCCCCACCAGCCCCTCTTGCCCACCCGCCTTGCAAGTCTCTACCTTTATCATTTCAAGCAATTTCTGGGCCTTGTCAAGCACCCTAACAACAAAGCCCATGCCTGGATCTCTGCTGGGTTTAATTCCCAATCTGATTGAGCCCTGACTGCCTTTGTTTTGGAAATCAACACTACTTTTAAATGACAAAATTATAGAAAATTACATCTAAATTCTGGTAAACCCTTGCTTTGTTTGAGATCTTTTTTTAAAAAAATTGACTAGATTGATTTTTGTTTAAATTGTTTTGGTTAAGCTCCTTCTCCCTTAAAAAAAATATATTAAAAAAAAAAAAAAAAAAAAAACATCTTATTCCCAGTTCAAGTTCATGAGCCGCCAACTCTGACACACCAGGCTGTGGGAGTCCCAGCTGCTCCCAAGGCTGAGCCAAAGCCCGGGGCACCAGGTGGCTTATCCTCTCCCCATGATGGGGGCCTCCTGGGGCTGACGAAAGGTCTTGCTGGCTTGCCACGTTCCAGGCATGTATCTAGGAAAAGGAGTTGTTCTGTGCAGAAAGGTAACTGGCCCAGATGGGACTGGAGTCCCTGGTTTGGGGCTCAGCCTCACCAGTGCTGCCAGGTGCAGGCGTATCTGAGCATCCTCACCCCTGAGCCTGGGAGATCAGGAGGGAGGGACAGGCCCCTGCTGGGCCCCTGTGCCTGCTGGGTCAGTGACCGCTGCAGAGCTGTTCCGGTAACCTCTGTGCAGCACCGCAGGGTGCACCCCATCCTCTGTGGGAGCCCCAAGCCTGCAGGCGGCAGGGGAGGAGGAACAGGGGCTCTGGTAGGTTCCCTCTGCCAGGCCCTGCTGGGCAGACCGACTGAGCACTAGGTGAGGGCCAGGATGAGATGGGCCTAGACGTGTCCACGACCCTGCCTTCTGGAGCCAGCAGGGTCCCCCAGCTCTAGCCAGTGACAACGGGTGACCTGTCCGTCACACCGATTTCCAGAGGTTGCCAGCAAGCCGGCTGTTTCCCCAGAAATTACATTTAACTCGCTTCTCTATTTACGGCCCTCATCAGCCGATTTATCCCCTCATACTTGCGGGAAGAAAGACAATGAAGCGTGCACACACAAACGCCTCAAAACTCGAGCATCGGGAGGGTTTTTTCTTTTTTTTTTAAGTAATTTCTCCTTTCATTTCTAATCTTAAAAGCCTTTATTGCTGAAGCTATAATTTGTCTGTCAGCTGTAATGTCAAACAACTGCATATTTTTTAAAATAAGAAACCCGAATTTTGAAACCAAATCTTTGAAACTTGCCATGCGAGAGTCATGTTCCTGACAGGACCACGTGGGTTTGGATTTGGGTCACTTTTAATTTTGCCCCTAGGGATTTTACATCTCTGAAGCCCAATTGATTTCACACTCCTAAATGACAGACAGCTGGCTCCAGGCAGGAACAGGAGGCTCTGCGTGATGGCATCAACACAAGTCAGAACTCCACTTAGGAAAAAAAAAAAAAAGAACTTTCCTTTTCTCCTGTTCTCTGTTTGAAACCTTGCCCAGCATTATAATAAGATCCACCATAGAACGCCTTGAGATCTAGCTCATTAAAGCCCCTCAATTTTTCCTACCATTGTTTGACGTGACAACCTGGCCTCTCCCGGGGTTGAGTAATTACGGAGAGACCCCCTCCACGAAGAACAGGTCTTGCCAGCCAGAGGGATGGGCCCTGGTATTTTTAGACTTCATTAGTGCCCTGATTTAAAATTTCACATTTTGTTTCTCGTAATTATCTTCCGATCGACCGAGCTAAAATTTCAGTTGGGTCTCGATTCGTCTGCCTTCCCAAAAAGGGTGTTGGGACTTTAATTTAAAACTTAACCAATTGAAAAATAAAGGTGGTGTGGAAATGCTTTTTGATTTGCAATAGGTCAAGCGATTGTCTCTCATCTGTGACTAGAAAAGCCAGCTTGCGTGCAGTTCACTTTAATGAGTGTTATTTAAATGCATTGAGCACATATAGATTTTCTTAAGAAACTTACAAGATAAATCTTTCTTTCTCTAAGAACAATTTGGGGGTGGGAGCAAGCTGTAGGATTTTTTTTTTAGATGGTATATTGAAAGCTAATTAAAAATAGATTTCATGTGTGCAAAGTGATAAGGGAGGAAAAAAGAATTAGTTCCATCTGAGTCCTGTTATAAAGTACCTGAGACGTTTGTCTCGTTGGCATGGAACCCTGAGCTAATCCATGGGAGAGGGGGGGCCGAGCTCAGGCCTCAGTGACACCTGAAGTCAATGTCACAGCCCTGGGTACCCCAGCTGTGTGTCATAGCAGAGGTTCAGGCTACGGGTGGTTATTTCTAGCTCTGCCTTCTTCCACAAATGATTGTTAGTGGCCCAGAGGGTGGCAGGAGACCCCAGGCCTTGCGGCAAGCTGCAGAAAGGCTTTTGTGTGTTCACCTGCACGCTGGGAATGAGAAACCAGACTGTACCTGCTCCTGCTTGCTTCTGCACCGGAAAGCAAAGCCCAAGTGGACCTGGGTGGGGAGATGCGTCTCCTCTGACTTTAGATTTTGTAGGCCTAAGGTGAGGGGCCCTGAGGATCCATCTGCAGGGCTTGGCCTCCCTGCCCTAGGGCCAGGGAACTGTGCTGGGAGGGGGGAGGTTCAGCCCCTTCCTGAGGCTCCACTCCTCCCTTCCTGTTGCTGCCCTGGACCTCTGCCCCACGGAGCCTTCTGCTTGGACAGCACCTGCCCAGGCTCCACAAGTGACAAAGTCAGGATCTTGTAAAAATACTTTGAGGCATAGCTGTGTGACTGGGGCAAGCCTCCCAACCTCTCTGAGGCTTTCCTCGTCTTTGAAATGGGAGTGAAACACTGTCCTCACAGGACCTAGGGGAGGACTGAATAAGATTGTGGACATCACCGTACCTAGCACTGTGCCTGCCCAGAACCAAACAGCTGCTGCTACTGAGCTGGCCTGGGACTGGGGAGCCAGAAGGGAAGGAAGCAGGGAGAGGGCAGAAGCCAGGGCCTCCCCGGTGCAGAGGGGATGGAAGAAGCCCACGCTGGTTCACAGGGCCAGCAGCCCCTGGTCAAGCCACTTAACTTAGGGATGGGGACCCCACACATAAAAGGGAGGTCGGATGTGTCACCTTCCAGCAGGAGGACTTGGGACTGCTCTCCCCAGGCAAGGAGAGATCTCATCTCTTCTTGCCCCACGCGCTGACATGTCCAGGGCACACTGTTCCCTCTGCACCCTCAGTAAATATTCGAGAAGAATCTGGGAATGAGAGATAAAGCTGTTTGCCACACGTGATTAGGCCAGAGGCATGAAATGTCCAAACTGAAATCGTATCCCACAGACCTGTCCTTCCTGTGTCTGTCTCAGTAATGCCATCACGAATCCAGCCGGGACTCGAGCTTAGAGCCCGAGGTTGGCCTTGACCAGCGCCACGTCCACGCTGCACTGAGTCTGAAAAGGTGGTTGGTTCTCTCCTCTCCTCTCGGTCCGCACCACCACCCCCTCTGGCCTGCACGCTGGCCTCCAGGCCACAGCACGTCCCTGCAGGCTGGCTTCGCAGGCAGCCACAGGATCTTTCCAAAATGCAGCCCTGGCCCTGCCCCGCCCCATGGAATGCCTCCCTCGGCCAGCTGCTCTGGGGACAGTGTCCAGCCTGGACCTGGTGCTTCAGCTCCTGGCTCCTGCCTGCCCCCTGCCTCGCCCTTTGCCATCCTGCTCGCAGGCTGCCCCGTCACTGCACAGGCGTTGGGTCAGTCCCCTTCCGTCCAGCCGTGCTCTGTGCCTCAGCCGAGCACCTGCGCTACCGGTGTTCCCCTGTTCCTGTGTCATTCTCCCAACCAAACCGTGAGCCCCCAAGGGCCAGGGCAGGTGAGTGCTCTGTCCCATTCCCACGCCACCCCCAGCATCCAACAGCACTAGATATTTGAGAA